TTTTTTAAAAAAAAAAAGATAAATGCAGGAGAAAAATATTTAAAAAATAATAATAATTTAAATCAAAGCCTCTATACTGGCTCTTTTCACAACATTACAAACGGGGCATGAATCCAGAAATCCCTCACACTCCCTGCATGCACACAGGTGCCTGCACGGCAGCATAATCACACACGATTTCTTCACATGGCACCTTTTACATATCATCTTCCTCAAATTCCCCACTAAATTCTCGTTTCTCGCCAATTTCTCGTCACCCCCCATACAGCAGCAAGACTCGGCGTCTCCGGCAGCATCTCCGCCGCCGCAGCCGTCGACGGCGGCGGCCTCCCTCAGCCGTTCGATCGCGCTGCTCAGCGAAGCCGCCGCCGCCTCGCCGTCCATCGCCGCCCTCTGCCACGCGTGCTTCTCGATCTCCATTCTCTTCAGGTAATCCTGGAGCTCCGCCGTCCTCCTCGCCGCCTTCTCGATCTCCTCGTCCTTTTGCCTGATCAGAAATTGGACCTTCGATTCGCACTTCTTCACGAACATCGACATATGCTGCTTCCTCTGCTCTTGCAGCGCCATTCTCAATCTCTCGTTCTGTTTCAATCGAAAACCTTTGTTCAGAAAATTCCTAAAACAAGAAATCATAATATAATTTCCGATTTTTTTTGTTTTTTTTTTGTTCTGTTTGAAGAGATGATGATACCTGTGAATTGATGAACATATCGATTTCAATTCGTTGATTCTCAACATGAGCGGCAACTGTTTGAGAAAATGCCGATGAGATTTGATCGTCCGTGCTGCGTGGTACTCTCTGCATCAACTGTTGTTCTTGCTGCAATTTCTGCTGGTGAGGTGCGTAACACATACTGTTGTTCAATCCACAAGCATTGTCCATCAAATAATCCCCTAAACCAAAGCCTGAATACATCTGAGCTTGAATAGCCATTTTTGGATATCTATATATATATATATATAACAAAATCCCCTTTTCTTAAGGACCTTCTTCCAACTTTATTCTCAACAAAGAGAGATTTGAAAAGGGATTGGTTGAAAACAAGAGAAGTTTGATTTGTTCTTTGTGGTTTATGAGTGATGGGGAAGAGTTAGAAATTTTAGAATAGAGAGACTTTTGGCGTTATAAATCTAAACCAGTGCTAATTTTAACGTTTGGCAAGGGCTATAAGGCACACACATATATAAATACTAGTACTATATTGCTTGTCAATTAATTTTGGGGTTTTTTTGGTAGGCTAATGGTTAGAGGGCACATCGTAGAAAACAAAGATGGTGGGGTTGGTTTTCGTGTGTTTATGTTGACATGATGATTTATGGAGAGAGATTTCAAATAGTTGGGATTGGGTTATATAAATAAATTGGTGAAATTATTAAAATATGAAGAGCCTAGCTAGGTGAAATGAAACTTTTCTTTCTATTTTCATGAAATGATAATGATATTTTAATTGACTAGTACAAACTAGAGAGAAACAACAACATGAAGTTGAAACATAAAATTCAATAGAGTAAATTGTCATTTACTATCTTCATAAATAGTTACTATTTGACCTCTATTTGCATTTACAATTTTCACTAAAGGTGTTTAACGAAACAGAGGTTTGGATCGTTGAGGCTCAAAAACAACTCAGCTCGTCTGATAAATGAATCCATTTTGAATTTATTGAGTATCTTTTAGTTGACATAATAAGACTCTTTTAAATAATTCGGCTTCGTACTCGGTAGAAATTCGAACTCAAACTTTTGTCGTTTTTTAATTATCTGAGCTCGTTTTGGTTCGATTCGAGTCCAAGCTCGAGTATCAAAAACTTGAACTCTGTTTGATCCGTTTAAAGCTCTAATTTCGACACATTGTTCTCAATATTCTCTTACGGATTTGTATAAGTACATAATTTAAATCAAATTAAAGTGAATAAAAAAAAAAAAAAAAAAAAAAAAAAAAAAAAAAAATGAAAAATGTTGAGGTGGGGGCCTATGTAGGATCACTTTTCAATACACTTCCTTTATAAAAGAAAAAAATATATACTACTATATATTTTTCCCCTTTATTTATCTCGCACTATTCTTGTGATGCAATAAAGAAGGGTGTTGAGGAAAAGAGCGTACACATGCAGATTTTGTGACTTAATACTATTATAGGGGCACAGATTTTTCAGAGTTTGGAGAAATTTAATTCCAAGTGGTTGTTAGTGGGGTGCACACTTCCTGAGGTTTGATTGAGCCTTTAAAAAGTGGAGTGTGTGAAGAAATCACCTCCCTAACTTTAAATAAATACTCCCTCCTATTCATTATAAATGTCGTTTTGATTTTTTTGATTCATCCATTTTGTTATGTATCTAGACATATTAACGTCTAGATACATAACAAAATGGATGAATCAAAAAAATCAAAACGACATTTATAATGAACAGGAGATAGTATTTTTTTTCCCAAAATAAATAAATTATAAACAAAGAGAGGGTATCAGGGGATATGTTACTTCTGGTCCTATTTTTATAAAGACTAGAGAATAGGATTCCAATTCCAAGAGCATCCGTGTTTTGAAAATTGAAATAACCAAAACATTTAATTAATATTATAAAGAAGTTGAAAAATGTTTACGGTTTTGTTACGGAGACATCGAATGGCTGGACGTGTGGAGTCATCTACAGTTATTCTGTTCATAGATGATGTATTAACACGTGTCATGTAATAAATGCACATTGGACATGTGTTAATACATAAAGTTATGAATGACTTTATAAAAGAGTTATCTTATGGTTCCATATATAGAATTTTGTGAAAATGTTTATCATATGAAATTATTTGTTCAACTGGCTAGCAAATAAATGCAATTGAAATCAGTAGAAAAATTGGTTACCATAATCCAATATATATATAATCATGTAAATTTTAAATTCTTAGAATTAATAGTCATTTTTATGCAGTCAACAAAGTAGAAGAAACGTTCTAATGTGAATTGAAAATACAGCATAGATTCTC